AACAAATAAATAAGTAATAAAAAATTAAATAGAATAAATTATTAATTAAAAAAAAAAAATTAAATAAATAAATTAAAAAGAACTCGAGGCTCGAGGAATATGTACTGTATATATATAAAAAAAAAAATAGAAATAAAAATAACGTACAAATAAATAAGTAATAAAAATTAAATAGAATAAATTAATAATTAAAAAAAAAATTAAATAAATAAATTAAAGAGAACTCGAGGCTTGAGGAATAAGCTTAAAATGGATAGTTTAGTATGATTGGTGCTATAATTCAAAATGCAATTTGTCATAATGTAGTAATTATTTACTACAAAAGTAGCAATTGTAATAATAATTACTATATATAGTAATTATTACTACATGTCGTAATAGTTACTAAGTGTCATAATAATTACTACACGTAGTAATTATTACAACATGTAGTAATTATTATGACATGTTATAATTATATAATATACAAAATAGTAATTATAATAACAAATATTACGTACAAGTATACATATTACATACGAAATTTTTATGACTAATACAACAAGATACAGATTATATCAATATATGAATGTACCTGAACACTGGTTCATATAAGGTAATTATTAGGTATATCGGTTAGATCATTGAATTCTATGCATGTAGAATTTATTTTATATGTTTGTTATTTTATTGTATTTATAATATATACGTAATAAAATATAGCAAAAATAAGTTATATAATGATACAATATAAATAGAATAAGGGATTAGTAAGTCGGTAGGTTATTTTCCCATGAGTTAAAGTTAATATGAAATAAATACAACCTTATTGTATAGCTGTAAGTTGTAAGTAAAGATGTAAATTATGAATAAAATAAGAATGTCATTAGGTGTAAGCAGTAAGAGGAAAGACACAGAGGGAATGCTGATGGACCATAATTTAGAGTTTAAAGAGATAAATTAGTAGCCAAAGACAGTTATGCACCACTTCTAGTAAAGACTATGATAACTCAAACAAATACTCTATAAATATTAGATGGATCAAATAATATGTGCTTATAGAAACTGTTAATTTATTAGCATTATTTATTTAATCAATATACAGCATATAAAATAATATTATTTTAATACAAAAAAATCATATAAGCAATATAGTTGCAATAGCAAGATAATTTAATATAGTATCAATATTTCTGGTGAAAAATAAGAAATTTGATGTGTGTCGAATAGCACTATTCGAATACTATTTGACATGCCATTCAATGCGCTATTCAATCTATCACATGACTTCACGTATATTAATATTCGCGAAGTCATGTGATAGATTGAATAGTGCATCGAATGGTATATCAAATAGTATTCGAATAGTGCCATTCGGCACACATCGAATTTCTTATTTTTTACCAGTGATTATTAGTGAAAAGGTCTTAATGCTTCCTCATCCTCTAAGCCAGGTTAAATTGAATACTGTAGTATGGTTAAGGTTTATCACTATAATTTAACCTTTTTTAAAATTAGTTAATTGAAAATCGATAAATAAATTTATGTTACTATTTTTGTCTTCATTTTTCTGTAGTTTTTACTGGTCAATTTAATCAGAGTTTTTTTTTATTGTAATTAATTAATAAATAGGAACCAATCAAATTAGAATCAATACAGTTTAGTAAAACAATTAAGCTTTAAAAGTGAATTTAAAATATTATAAACATATCTTTTCTAAATTATTTATTATTATTATTTTAAACAACCTGTATGAATATATATCTTGTATTATACAGTATATATACTAAAGTAAAGTAATCAACTCTAGATATCTAAAACTATACAATTCATTCTTTCTATGATAATTAATCTTGATTATTATCCTGATCATTAAATCAATTTTTATATGGTACTATATATAGCTTGATTTATATAAACCCCAATATGAGATGTATTACCATTATTATAATATAAAAGTCAAAATACTCAATTGAGAACTTGAATTATTTGAGCAACATAATGCAAGACACATGCACATTATTTTAAGGTTCAGAAAATCATATAAAATTATCCTTTATTAAATCATACAATAACCAAACTACCCAAATAAGAGTACAAAAATATGAGCAAGCGTTAAAAAATTTATAAGTATTAGTTACTATGTAGTAATTATTACTACTTGTAGTAATTATTACTAATATCATAGTAATTACTACATGTCATAATAATTACTACATGTGGTAATATATAATAGCAATTATTACATGTCATAATTATTATGACATTTTTAATAATTACTATACATAGTAATAATTACTACAATTAAGGTTTTATGTAGTAAATATAATTGTCGTAATTTGCTACTTATGGTACAATACTTTAATTCGTACTTCATCGTTTATAATTCGTCAATTCAATATTGCCTGACGAAGCCATTTTGGTGACAAAAACTTTCATCATTCTTTAGGCATTATATTTTATATACTTAACACTTTGTATTGTAATAATTCTTTATCATTTATAATTTGTCAATTCAATATTGTCTGACGAAGCCATTTCAGTGACGAAAACTTTCATCATTCATTAGACATTATATTTTATATACTTAACACTTTGTATTGTAATAATTTAACTGCTAAAAGCCTATAAACTCTATATGCTTACATGTCATGTTTAAATTATAATTATATCATTTTATATACTTACATATTAGATAATTTTGTTCTATATGTTTGATAGCTTAATTATTTAACTTTCAAGTTTAAAGTTTAATTAGAACTTGATTAATTATTGTTAAATGATGTTATTTTATATACTTACATGTTAGATAACTTTATCCGGCAAACTCTTATAATCATGGCTTTTTTTTGCCTTGATATTTTCATGCACAAAATGTTATACGGTTAAATATTCCAAAATTTTACAATATCAGAAGCAAATAAATGTATTTTTATTATTATTTCAGTTATTTTGCATATTTGTTATTTAAAAATTACAATATTCGTGCAAATAATAAAAATTAAAAATTAAATGTACAATTGTTAACCATATTTCCAGAAAGAAATTTTTCCAATGCTTCTTTCTTGTTTTTATTTTCTTGACTAACATTTTGATCAAGCTCATTTAACAGATTTCGTGAAGATCTATACAATTTTTTTAAAGGTGATTTAGACAAATCTTGCAATAGTGATTCAGGTATATCTTGCAATGGTGATTTGGGCATATCTTGCAATGCTGATTCGGGCATATCTTGCAATGCTGATTCGGGCATAACTTGCAACGGTGATTTAGGCATATCTTGCAGAAATGATTCAGATGTGGATATTGATACATATTCATTTTGATTATCAAGATCAATTGAAGAATAATTGCTTGCTGAAACAAAATCTCCATATAATCCCTTGGATTTTTTTTAAAAATTATTTTCATCGTGATCTTCATTTTGATTTTAGTAGTTTTTTGATCTGATTCATTTGTGACTAATGTCAATGCATTAAAAAAGCCGCCCAATCCTTCTTTCTGCATAGTTGATTTAGGACGCTCATATGCTGCTAAACCTTGTAATGACTGATGCTGTGTGATTGACATAATATTCGGATCCGAGTATCCAAGATCTTTAAGAATTTGAACTGATGTCTTTCACCCCAAGTGATTAGATATATTTTTATTACCAATAGAAATATTCATATCCTCACAGATTGTTCTAAAATAATTTCTTAATAAACATTCAGGTTGAGCATGTATATAGTACCACTGCGTACTAAAATTAACTATATTATATCAAAAAAAAAATAAGAGTTTTTAAAATTAATTTTGATTAAAACAGAAAATTAAAATACTTACAAGCATTTGGATTACAGAGCTTTAAATAAAAGTTTGAGCAGCCTTTACCAGATGTTTAGCAAAGTAAAATTTATAATCATTAATTACACTTGAAATATTTGGCAAACTAATACTTTCTGCCTGTGCATGATAATTATCTAATCCTCTTTGATTAGTTTTCGATTTGTAAAGCTTTACATCTATACCTCCATCGACCCTTTTTATAAAGCTTTCAATTTTTAATTCTTGATGCTCACCACCACATAATGCTAACAAAATAGCATTATAAAAAAAAATTCGCCATAGTAATCCTTTGGGAGAACTTCATTGCATCGTGGGGTGTTCAAGGATTTGTTCAACCTCTTCTTTTGTTAAACCATCAGCACCATTATGTTCACCAAAGCCTATTGCTGAAAGACCTTTCAATTTACCATTTATCACAGTGTTTAAATCATAATAAACTAGAGTTCCGTTGTTTGATCTGGGTTTGATTTGAGTTTGATCAAACCCCAAATCAAACCAAACTCAAACTATAAATTTTAT